TTGGGATACTCCAACAATTAGATTATCTAAAATCTCTCCCAACTATGCAGTTGGTGCCAACTTTTATTTTTGTTGGGGAGGGCCTAAGATGATGGACATGTGGACAGCTTTATGCAGTTCAGGTGACAGCCCTCTTCCCAAGGGGAACCAGGGCCCATGGGCCCCTATGTACTCAGCACCTCTGGCCCCAATAAAAGATATCAGCAAAAGGATTCCTCACTTTCCTTATTCTGTCAGCTCATACCTTTGCCATTCTCCATCTTGCTTGGATGACAATTCAGGGGCCTGGTCCTGTGAACATCTGCTACTAAATCTAGCCTTTATTGGTAACAGTAGTTCTAGTAATTTGGAGCTAGTTTCAAAGTCTGGAAGGCCAACTGTTGATCTTCAGGCCTGCAAAGAGTTGTGAATACTTGATTTTATTCACCCAGTCAGTAAGAGTACTCAGATTTAGTAAGATTAAGCAAATGGAAAGATGCTTACAGGATTGGACCTTAGAGAGTGAATTTTAGGACCCAGTTACAGAGGAACAGCAACGTTAAGACATGAACTATTACATGCCGTTACTAGGTGGCAGTAAAGCACATCAGTAGAAGCATTCAAGCATCTCCAGGGAGATCTCAGAACAGCAGAGACTCTATGCCTGAAGAAAGGCAATTGCACCCAAAAGCTTACTAAACTTTTTTCCAGCTACTCAGTTGGTCTAATAAAAGATATCACATCTACCCAAAGAACTTGGCCTGCCTGAGGTCACTGTTAACATTTTGCATTAGAGATAAAAAATGCCATAAAGCTGAAGGTCACGTATCTTTCCTGGCACTTTATGGGAGACTTTGGAAGAAAAAGCCTCATGGAGCACCACACTGCCTCCACCCCCAGGGTCACAGGCAATATGAATGTGCTAAACAGCATACAAGCTCTTCCCTTTATCATCTTATTTCCATGCTATTAGGGTTTGGGGGACGGATTGAGTGCACTCTGCAACCACACACGCTGCCAGTCAACATAGCTGTTGAGGGCTAGGATGCTAGGAAAGTGGTGGCAGGGGTGTTCAGGGCTAGGGCTGGTATGCGAGACTCAGAGCATCAGATGTGAGCGCTGTGTATGTCTGGGAGGGAGCAAACTCCTAGGGTGTGTGTTTTGGGTGGGGGGATGTGTGTGTGTGTGTGTGTGTGTGTGTGTGTGAGGTATGGGGCCTTGAGAGGTGTGTGTAGGGGGGAGGGCAGGGACCCCTGGGGGTGTGTGCATGGGGGGGGAGAACAGGGGCCATGAGGCTCCCCTCCTGTGTGTGGGGGGGCCCTGAGAGGGGGCATCAGGGTCTGTGTATAGGGGGACAGGGGCCCCTGAGGGAGGAGCAAGGTGCCCCAGGCCCTTTCTGTGTGAGGGAGGAGCTGTGCCTGGGTGACAAGTTGCTCAACCCCTTGCACAGATGGGAGGTGGGGTGTGGGGCAGGGCCTGCCAGGTGCTGGCACTTGCACTGTAGTTTGGGCTGCATGTGCGCTGGGCAGTGCTTAGCTGGCCCTTGGGCATTAAGATCCCATGGAGGCTGCATGATGGTCTGTGCTGACAGCAGTAGGGCTGGACCAGGCACAGCGTGGCACAGAGAAGGGGGCAGGTTGGTGTGACATGGCCTTCCTGGAGTAGCCGCCAGCCAGCAAGGTCATAGAATCATAGAAGTAGGGTCGGAAGGGACCTAGCAGATCTTCAAGTCCGACCCCCTGCCTAGGCAGGAAGAAAACTGGTCTCAATTGACCAGCCAGGTAGGCATCAAGTCGCTTCTTAAAGACCCCCAGGGTAGGAGCCAGCACCAATTCCCTTGAAAGTTGGTTCCAGATCCTAGCCACCCTGACTGTGAAGTAGTTCCTACAGATGTCCAATCTAAACCTACTCTCCAACAACTTGTGGCCGTTATTCCTTGTTATCCCGGGGGGCGCTAGGGGAAACAAGGTCTCCCCCAAACCCTTCTGGTCCCCCCTAGTGAGTTTATAGATGG